TAACATATTCAATCACTCATAAATGTAATGAATGAAGCTTTTTGTTTATCATTCGATTTACCATGAGCAAGTGATGATGGTGACAGAATTTATTTCGCTATAACTAATGTCTGTAGTTTTCATTGGATTATATTATTTAAAGCTGAACATTTCTGGTTTGAAAGTGTTATTGTTGATGATGATGATGATCAATAGGAATATGTTTGATAACAGTTTTTACATGATGCAAATTTTTTTTATTATTTTTTTTGTATCTATCTGGACCTAATATATTACCTGGTAATCAAAAGAATTTCCGTTAAGACGAAGATGTATTTTTATCAACAACAGAACTGTTTTATAATTCCGGTACAGCTCGTAGATATTCTTCCTTCGAAACTGTACGAAAAAAGCAATGCTATATTTATGAAGATAAAGAGTAATACTATCTACAGTATATGTTTCGAAAAAATTTGATCTATTATTCATAAGAATATTTATTAATTGTGCAGATAAAGATATAGATGAAGATAATGGAACATCAGGTGAAATTGAAGAACATTCAGAAGAATTCATCACTGAATGGCAATCTAATTTATAATACGTTAATCGGAAAAGAAAAATAATAGATTTAAAAGGAGGTTAAAATGCAAATGAATGAGATGAAAAATGATTATTAAATATGACACAAAGATAAAACAATTCCTTTCTTTTATTTTCTTAAGTGTAATTTTTAATTCATCCACATAACAAGTCTATCAGAAGAGTGTGAAAAATTAGTTTATTAAAAAAACATCTATCATATTATAACATAGCTGCCATTTTGATTATCATGCTTTTCATCAGATGAAAATATATAGTATGATAAAAAATCATGATTAGATCAGTGAAATATATTTGTATTAGAAAATATCGAATCGAACTGATAACTGTTACACAAGACACATCAATTGTACACTCGAAAGGCAAAAGAATATATTTTATTTTTATCTAGGCATGAAATTCTTTTCTAAACATGCTCAACAACTAATAAATTCGATGTTTCAAATGGATGATATCCATGTGATGGGTGCCTTTCTACATTCAAACTATAAACATTGAGATTTGCGATATTGACTCAGATTATTGCCATCAAGTAT